TGCTATGGCGTCATCTTGCTGTTTGTTTTGTTTGTTTTGTTTGTTTGTGTTAATCTAGTTTGTTTGAGAGAAACCTCACGCAGTTAACATCACCTCGCAGTTTCTACAAGTTAACCGGCGCAATAAATCCACGCGGCTTGTAAATAACGGATCGTTCATTTAATAGAAGAGTGATTTAATAGCTTTTCGAGTGAGGCAAGTCGCTTGAACATTTATGAGATGATACGGTAAACCAATCACAGCGACTGGAAGATTAAATACATTGGTTACTCTGTAAGCTCCAACTGAAACTCGAAAGGATTCACTGATCAAGGGGATGAACACTTTACGACTAAAGTCATAAAGGGAAAGTAAAAAGGCCATAGAAGAAAATGTATCAACGATTTACAAGGAACGTTACTGGGAGGCAGTCGTCACTTAAGTACACGACTGCTGGAAAGTTCGCAAGGTTATTAACTTCACAACTTAGCGAAGTGGTTCAACTATTACTTTCAAACGTTTTTCAGCTGGAATGAAAGTTTTTTCCAGAACTTCTGCTTCTTAAATTTATTGCGAATTTAAAGCTAAGATACCTTTAACCTGAAGAAGTTTAAAGCTAAGATGCTTGTAACCTGAAGAAATCTTTCATTTGAATATCTCGGCTTGAATAATCGTTGAACTGTAATGTTAGCCTGGGCTCCTCCAGGAGACTGAGGATAAGAAATCTTCTGGGCCGGGTTGTTCGAAAGCCGGTTAACACTAAACCCAGGATTAAAAGTTAACCGGCGAAGTATTAATTTTTTCTTGTATAAAAATGGTTTTTACTGCTTATGTTTTGCCTAGTTTGACATTATTCAAACTCAAAGCGAATCCGGCCCGTGATATTTCAAAACTCCCCAAATATCACGAGCCGCAAAGCGGCTCGTGATATTTTGGTAAATTTTGAAATATCACTGGGGGTATTTATTCCAAGAAACCGGTCGCTTGGGACGTGCTCAGGGAGAGGCTGGAAACGAATTGTGTCGCCGGCGGTTAGCACTGGTCAGCACACAATTCAACATGGCGGATCCGAGTGCCCGCGTACATCCAAACAATGAGTTTAGGGAACGTTTGATGGAGAAAGTTCATGTAAATGTTACAGAAACAGGAAAACTAGCTCAACAGTTGTTAAAGAGCTCACGATCACACGAGGTAAATATAAGGAAGAGCCTTCTTATGTCTACAAGTAGAATCAATAAGTGTGAAGGCTTTAATACAATCGTGTTTGCTATACTCGAAGAGGGGAAGAATGTAGCTATAAACTTAAGATGGCTCAAAACAGTTTTCTGTTTTTTGTTTTTTTGAGACTTATAGAACTAGGCGCGTTTTTTCAGGCTTGGAACTGTACTATTTTGAATGGCTGTGCTATTTTTTTAAATGTAACTCGCCATTGTGCCTTTCATGGTGTTTAAGTCCTAAATTAAGGTTGCACTGTCCAATTGCATAGCAACAAACTTGACCCACTTTTTACCATCAATTGCATCTATCTTAAAAACTAAGCTGGTGACCCCATATTTTTTTTAGAAAAATCTTTTTGTTACACAGAAGAAACAGGAAAAGTAATTATTATAAAAAATTCTGTGGAGTGAATTTTTCTTAAATTAAAGAAAAATGGAAATTTTCAAGCTGGAGAAACTCCACTCCACAGTTTTTTTTACAATTTTGCACATGCATTCCGCTTTTGCTGTAGAATATTTTTATGCATTAAAAATGTAGGGTCACAAGATCACTTTTTGAGATATTAGCTTCGTGGATAAGGTATTTTAGCGCGATTTCTATGCACAAATTAAAATCTCGACTTTGCAAGATCGCCCCTTGTGCACGTGTGAAGGTGGTCTGCTGATCAGTAAAGCCTGCAATTCTATGCGAATAAATGCGAATAGTCCATAAATAGTGTTTTCTTTGTCGCTGTTCTCATTAGTAGCATGAGTGGTAAAAGAAGAGTACCATAAATACCTGGAGGTGAGACTAGCCAGTACAAAGAACGAAGAAAACCTGAAGAGTAGTTTTTTCCTGCTGTTAGATTGATAGCCGGTGCGATCGATCTTAACATCAACATCACAATTTTCGTTTACGTTCTGGCACAAAGGTTGAAGAAGATGTTTTTTCCTTTGAAAATGCCTGAAGGGTGGATGTTTTCGAAGTTAAAAATAACTGATAATGCAAACAGCTCACTAAACTTGGCAGAAACAAAGTTTTACAAAGTAGGCCTTGTGCCGCCATGTTTGTTTTGATTTTTGTAAACTTTAAACCTTGAGTGCTATCTCGCGAACCCTTGGGTGATCGTATGATGCCTCACGTTTTGAGCCACCTTAAGCTCATAATATATAACGGTAAATTTCAGTCTTTTCACAGACCCTCTCATTTGTTTTTGGGAAAGACAAAAATAGAGGGTCTGTGGATTCTTTTGAGAAACTGAATTTTTCATTTCTCCAGGTCTTAGGGTCTTTGTTTTCGTGTTTTGGGGTCCTTGATCTTAGGTCTTTGTTTTTGGGGTCTTCGTTTTCTTCACTACTGTATTGGTGGTGTGTCCATTTACCTTGAAAAATTTGGAAAATTAATAAATACAAATATCCAAAATTTTGTGATTGCTCTTCACTAAAAGTTGATTTCTTTAATCGTGTCTATAGTGCCTGGGCACAAGTTTTGTAAATTCATGATCAAAAAGGTAACAAACAGAATTCTTGCTAGACAAAATGTACATGTAAGTCCATTATATGGCCGTGGAATAAAATTTGTTCAATAGAACACTAATAGAATCAAAAATATCATTCTGCTGGATTGTTTGAAATTATTTTCATTATAATGTGCATTTCTTTACATGTATGTTTAAATGTAGATCTTGTCTCATACTACAAAGCAGTTTGTAAGCCAGGAAGGGTCTTTAGCAAACTCCCAGGAAGTAAGTAAAAAAACTAGGTAAATGCTACAAACATACATCTAAATAATGGGTAAATATTTTTATTATATCTCTTGGTTACTACATGCACTGTTATTGGTCATTTTAGCAGTATATTTCTACCATGTGGTCTGCTAAAATTTAAAGCTGTTTTAAACTTTCATGGTAAACGAAAGCGTAAATATTTCTGTTTTCTTTCAATTGTGTACAAATGTACGTGTATGTTTAAAAATCTGGTAATGACTCTTAAGTCGTCGTTGAAACAATTGTTTTTAATTGACTCCTGTTGCTTTCAACATGCTGTAAACTGCTGGTTATGAGCCCCTCTGGTTATAGGCCTATCTACCTGTTAACCAAAAAATGCATCAGGGCATAAGCCCCCCTTTAGCTTTCCTTGTTTTGAATTTGTTTTATTATGATGTTTGAAAGCTTACTGGTAATTACTAGTAAATTAAAAACCTATTTTGATCAATATGTGAAGCTATAGCTCGTTTTGAAACATTTTTTTAAATTTCTTTTTTAAGCTCCCTTGGATATAAGCCCCTCCATTTATAATCCCATCTAAAAACCCTTACAAAGTTGTATAAGCTTGGGGCTTATAAGTGGCAGTTTACAGTATGTCAGTTGTTTGAAGCTGGTCCCTGTGAAATTGTTTCCAAGCTAGTTAGGCACAAAGTAGAGAAAGAGATTTTTTATCCTTGTAATTTAAATTTTTAAGCTTCAGGTTTTAATTCTGCATAGTAAATTATAGTAATGTAGATAGAGGACCACCCTAATAAACTTAGTGGTAGCTTGGTGATATCCTCTGTAAATATTGTTATTATTATTATTATTATTATCATCATTATCATTATCATTATTATCGAGATATTAAACATCATACTTACCTCTTACAAAGAAAAATGGAGTACAAAGTCGATACAAAAAAAGTTGAAAACTTGGATTGGAAGTCACATTCCTGAGTGCCTGGACTTCTAAACCAGTGTGGAATGCCAGTATGAAATTGTTCTGTAGATGTGTATGTACAATACATACTTATATAGACGTACGTTAAGAGAAATTTCCTTGTACTTATAATAAGGAAATTGGATGTTGTCACAATACTGTATGTACATGTGACAAGTGCAGTATTAAAATAGTTATGTTCAATTATGTTGCAGCTCATAAAACAGTCTGGAAAAATCATAGCAGACATGGAATCACAGTAAGGCTAATCTTCTTTTAAAAAATAAGAATCAAGAACCTACTTTACTGACCGCCAATACTGATGCAAACTATTATCTGTTTGAAGATAATCTCTATTATTGGGATAGTTTGCATGGGTGAAAGACCTGAGCTGAGCATCTGCAATAATTTAAGGCCCCCTTAAAACCGTTTCTGCATGGTACATGTAAATTTGTTGATCAGAGTACTTCTACTTTTATAATTGACAGTTATTTAATAGACATTAACTAGTCACTTCTAAGCAAAGCTAGAGTACATGAACACGTATGTGGGAATTCTTTAAATTACCGTAAAATAAGCTTCTGAATAGTTAAAGTTTTTTTTTTAAATATTATGTTACTTTGTGGCTATTATTGCATTCTCATTTGACTGATGATTCTTTAATTTTGATTTTTATAAGGTTTGCTGATATTCAACATAGGTAAGTGAATCAGTAATGCTACTGTGCTTTACTTTTTCAACAAAATAAATTTCACTGGGGATTGTTCTTTTAAGCTTGCACAAAGATGCTTGTCTTGTAGTGTTTTTTCCTCAAGAACAGACTGCTTGATAGGTACTGGAAATTTATTGCCATAACCTTCTAGTTTGCCATTGTATTTCAAAATACTGAAGAGTGTAATGACAGGAANATTGTGCCTTTCATGGTGTTTAAGTCCTAAATTAAGGTTGCACTGTCCAATTGCATAGCAACAAACTTGACCCACTTTTTACCATCAATTGCATCTATCTTAAAAACTAAGCTGGTGACCCCATATTTTTTTTAGAAAAATCTTTTTGTTACACAGAAGAAACAGGAAAAGTAATTATTATAAAAAATTCTGTGGAGTGAATTTTTCTTAAATTAAAGAAAAATGGAAATTTTCAAGCTGGAGAAACTCCACTCCACAGTTTTTTTTACAATTTTGCACATGCATTCCGCTTTTGCTGTAGAATATTTTTATGCATTAAAAATGTAGGGTCACAAGATCACTTTTTGAGATATTAGCTTCGTGGATAAGGTATTTTAGCGCGATTTCTATGCACAAATTAAAATCTCGACTTTGCAAGATCGCCCCTTGTGCACGTGTGAAGGTGGTCTGCTGATCAGTAAAGCCTGCAATTCTATGCGAATAAATGCGAATAGTCCATAAATAGTGTTTTCTTTGTCGCTGTTCTCATTAGTAGCATGAGTGGTAAAAGAAGAGTACCATAAATACCTGGAGGTGAGACTAGCCAGTACAAAGAACGAAGAAAACCTGAAGAGTAGTTTTTTCCTGCTGTTAGATTGATAGCCGGTGCGATCGATCTTAACATCAACATCACAATTTTCGTTTACGTTCTGGCACAAAGGTTGAAGAAGATGTTTTTTCCTTTGAAAATGCCTGAAGGGTGGATGTTTTCGAAGTTAAAAATAACTGATAATGCAAACAGCTCACTAAACTTGGCAGAAACAAAGTTTTACAAAGTAGGCCTTGTGCCGCCATGTTTGTTTTGATTTTTGTAAACTTTAAACCTTGAGTGCTATCTCGCGAACCCTTGGGTGATCGTATGATGCCTCACGTTTTGAGCCACCTTAAGCTCATAATATATAACGGTAAATTTCAGTCTTTTCACAGACCCTCTCATTTGTTTTTGGGAAAGACAAAAATAGAGGGTCTGTGGATTCTTTTGAGAAACTGAATTTTTCATTTCTCCAGGTCTTAGGGTCTTTGTTTTCGTGTTTTGGGGTCCTTGATCTTAGGTCTTTGTTTTTGGGGTCTTCGTTTTCTTCACTACTGTATTGGTGGTGTGTCCATTTACCTTGAAAAATTTGGAAAATTAATAAATACAAATATCCAAAATTTTGTGATTGCTCTTCACTAAAAGTTGATTTCTTTAATCGTGTCTATAGTGCCTGGGCACAAGTTTTGTAAATTCATGATCAAAAAGGTAACAAACAGAATTCTTGCTAGACAAAATGTACATGTAAGTCCATTATATGGCCGTGGAATAAAATTTGTTCAATAGAACACTAATAGAATCAAAAATATCATTCTGCTGGATTGTTTGAAATTATTTTCATTATAATGTGCATTTCTTTACATGTATGTTTAAATGTAGATCTTGTCTCATACTACAAAGCAGTTTGTAAGCCAGGAAGGGTCTTTAGCAAACTCCCAGGAAGTAAGTAAAAAAACTAGGTAAATGCTACAAACATACATCTAAATAATGGGTAAATATTTTTATTATATCTCTTGGTTACTACATGCACTGTTATTGGTCATTTTAGCAGTATATTTCTACCATGTGGTCTGCTAAAATTTAAAGCTGTTTTAAACTTTCATGGTAAACGAAAGCGTAAATATTTCTGTTTTCTTTCAATTGTGTACAAATGTACGTGTATGTTTAAAAATCTGGTAATGACTCTTAAGTCGTCGTTGAAACAATTGTTTTTAATTGACTCCTGTTGCTTTCAACATGCTGTAAACTGCTGGTTATGAGCCCCTCTGGTTATAGGCCTATCTACCTGTTAACCAAAAAATGCATCAGGGCATAAGCCCCCCTTTAGCTTTCCTTGTTTTGAATTTGTTTTATTATGATGTTTGAAAGCTTACTGGTAATTACTAGTAAATTAAAAACCTATTTTGATCAATATGTGAAGCTATAGCTCGTTTTGAAACATTTTTTTAAATTTCTTTTTTAAGCTCCCTTGGATATAAGCCCCTCCATTTATAATCCCATCTAAAAACCCTTACAAAGTTGTATAAGCTTGGGGCTTATAAGTGGCAGTTTACAGTATGTCAGTTGTTTGAAGCTGGTCCCTGTGAAATTGTTTCCAAGCTAGTTAGGCACAAAGTAGAGAAAGAGATTTTTTATCCTTGTAATTTAAATTTTTAAGCTTCAGGTTTTAATTCTGCATAGTAAATTATAGTAATGTAGATAGAGGACCACCCTAATAAACTTAGTGGTAGCTTGGTGATATCCTCTGTAAATATTGTTATTATTATTATTATTATTATCATCATTATCATTATCATTATTATCGAGATATTAAACATCATACTTACCTCTTACAAAGAAAAATGGAGTACAAAGTCGATACAAAAAAAGTTGAAAACTTGGATTGGAAGTCACATTCCTGAGTGCCTGGACTTCTAAACCAGTGTGGAATGCCAGTATGAAATTGTTCTGTAGATGTGTATGTACAATACATACTTATATAGACGTACGTTAAGAGAAATTTCCTTGTACTTATAATAAGGAAATTGGATGTTGTCACAATACTGTATGTACATGTGACAAGTGCAGTATTAAAATAGTTATGTTCAATTATGTTGCAGCTCATAAAACAGTCTGGAAAAATCATAGCAGACATGGAATCACAGTAAGGCTAATCTTCTTTTAAAAAATAAGAATCAAGAACCTACTTTACTGACCGCCAATACTGATGCAAACTATTATCTGTTTGAAGATAATCTCTATTATTGGGATAGTTTGCATGGGTGAAAGACCTGAGCTGAGCATCTGCAATAATTTAAGGCCCCCTTAAAACCGTTTCTGCATGGTACATGTAAATTTGTTGATCAGAGTACTTCTACTTTTATAATTGACAGTTATTTAATAGACATTAACTAGTCACTTCTAAGCAAAGCTAGAGTACATGAACACGTATGTGGGAATTCTTTAAATTACCGTAAAATAAGCTTCTGAATAGTTAAAGTTTTTTTTTTAAATATTATGTTACTTTGTGGCTATTATTGCATTCTCATTTGACTGATGATTCTTTAATTTTGATTTTTATAAGGTTTGCTGATATTCAACATAGGTAAGTGAATCAGTAATGCTACTGTGCTTTACTTTTTCAACAAAATAAATTTCACTGGGGATTGTTCTTTTAAGCTTGCACAAAGATGCTTGTCTTGTAGTGTTTTTTCCTCAAGAACAGACTGCTTGATAGGTACTGGAAATTTATAGCCATAACCTTCTAGTTTGCCATTGTATTTCAAAATACTGAAGAGTGTAATGACAGGAAAAAATGTGTGTGCAGTCAAAGCAGTTCAAAACAACTTGATCAATAGAATGTGTACTTTCTAGTGATGCCAATAGAAAATAAAAAAATATTGACATCGATAAGATTTCCAATTTTGCTCCTGTTGAAGTCCATGATACAGATGGAAACTGAAAAACAAACTAGTGATTCCATCTAAATAGTCCTGATATAATGAACTAAAATCAGCCAAAAAAGAGCAAAACTACAAATTGCACAAATTCTTACGCATTTCCCTCTTTCCTGGAAGACTCCTGGATACCGGTAATTAATTTAGACAGACAGGTATGCAACATTTGATTCTGATTTTGTTGCAGTATGCAGACAGTTAACACTATCAGTGAACACTTGGAGCCAATATGGAGGTTAGTGAGGACAACAATATTATGCATAGCATGTGTTGAGCCTACAAGCAGGTGCTGTGACCAGAAAAGGGAAGGGTGAGGGGAAATGACACTGACAGACCATGCAACTACCATTGTGCAGTGTACAGGCCATGTTGAAAGAAAGTAATGTTTTGGACAACAGTGACTCAATATGAACTACTTTTTGGTCAAATGTGTTTTTTTGCAATAGCCATTTGAAAAATGTTCATTCAAAGAACTATATTGTAGTGATCCTTAAGATAATAGAATTTTTACACAAAATGTATGAACACATTTTAATTAATCATGTCAGATTTATACAAAAATATATTACCAATGTTGAATCATACATGAACCTTATCAATCTCATTTACTGTGTACCTAGTCATTTTCATGGTTAGTTTTCTTTTTGTGCCTGGAGAAGGCCAGTAGCCAAGGCACATTTGCACACAGGCTACATAGCAATAGCATCCCTTGCCAGTCGAACAGGGAATCTTTGTTAGTGTCCTCGCAATAACTGTGAGGACATTATTGTCATGTGCCATACACTATAGCCTGTCTGATCAATTATTGGCCTCAATCCATCTCACATGTGAAACAATTTGGATCTTTGACAATAGCATTCTAGGGAATATGGCTTTGTGCATTGAATGCAGATGATATATATAAATTTCATGTACATAGCTTTGGTTGAAAAGCAATGGCTTTGTCTTGTCAACAACAGTAGCATTGTTAGCATTACTGTACATTTACATTCTTCAAGAATCTTTGTTTTCACCTTCTTGGCCCCCTGTACTGTTTCTTATATTACTGTACACTGTATTTCAATCCTTTATACAAACACAGGGAGCATTATGAATTACAGTGCTGACACCATATGCGAGAGACTTTCAGTCTACTATAGACTATCTGTAGTTAAAACATCATAACATTTCACAATAGGCGTTTGTGTTATATTGCAAATTAGCCATAATTATTGTCTGACAGGGGGTAGACAATGGGAGGAAAAAAAGTTGTGATAAACAGCCTTGTCCTACTAGTCAAGTACCCATACCAAATTGATAATTAATGGAGTACATAATTATGGTTAGATTTGAATAGTTACTTGATATTGCAGCTTGGTAACTATAAAATTTGTTTGTGCTACGCACAGCTGTGGAAACGCTTTCAGATATTAAAGAAAGTTGTTGAAATATTTTGGCTTAATCTGTATATCTTAACTTTTTTGTCCCTTATGAATGCCATCAAACCAGCTTTCAGCTAGCTCCTTTAATGACTGCTACAGTAGTTTGTTATGGTAATCATTCTGTCTTTATGTTAATGTTTTTTTTTTCTCCATGCATTGAAAAGAATAATCTGCAAATTCCATTTTGTGAGAGCAGATTTAGAGCTTTGGGAGATCATGCACACACTCAAACACACTTAACAGCAAACAAAGTGTTGTCAAGTATATCATGTAGTGTTTAGAAGTGATCTGATCCACCATTATGTTTGTTATCCAGATGACACAATGGACAAAATGGTCTTCATTTGAAGGGTGAGGTGCTTGTCTGTAGTGTTGATCATGGCGAGTATAGCATGGCATGGTACTACACAAGTCCGTCATACAGAGATAGTGCCTGTACAATAGATGGATCAGACTTGGAACCTTCACGGAATTCCTCCATTGACAACTTGCCATCAGCATTCTGTTGTTTTGAACAAAATAGATTCTATTTATTTATGATAGAAAACCTAAGAAAATATCAGGGTTCCAGTGATAAAGACTGAAAAAAATACTTCATTGTGATTGGCTGAGAACAGCCAAATTTAGTTCTTTTTTAATTTGCACTGCAATGTAAGTCAACTGCAGCAGGTTTAAGCCAGATGGGTGTCCAGGTGTACTGTGGATGGCCACTTACTAAAGAAGATTTTGGCTAAAAAATAGTATGTAGTAGGGCTTCTGCAAGTCAGTGTCTGGGAATGCACAGTCAGTATTTGCTTAAACGCACTCAGTATAGTCATAAACACAGTGTACTTTACATGTACACTTGTGCAGCTCACTTAACCTTTTAATAATTTGTATGTAAAAAATATATACCAATTGACTGCAAAGTTGATCAGGAGCAACCTCACAAAATAGTGAAATACAATAGAAGTGCTTGTGTGGGTAAAGTACTAGTGCTCGCTGTGGCTGATCAGTGCAGATAATTTAGAGAAATCATGCCACTTCCTTTCATTTTTTTTTTCACATCCCTTTAAAGTTCAGGGTCTTTTATAAGGTCCAGTATTAAAAGTTTATTATGTACCGTGTCCATTTGATTAAAGATTCTATTGACTCTCTTCTCTGGGGTGTCTTCATCCTCTGGTAGCTTCACCATGCTGGCCTGTGATAAAAAACATACAAGACACCTAGTTTGCTGTTTCCAAAAATTAAGATCTTAACTTAAACAACAACAACAACAACAAAAAAACAATCTGCACTCAGGCCAAAGTGGGTTATGGGAATAACCATACATGTAAGGTCACTGTGTCACACACTTTATTGAAATTAGTTTCTAGTATGTGGTGATGAGGATTTGCTTTGCAGTAAAAACAGACGTACCACCATCTTGTAAATAGAATCCACAATGTGAAGCATCTCCTCCTTAGTTATGTAACCATCATCATCTAGGTCATACAGCTTGAATGCCCCTGCAAATAAATAAATAAATAATAAAATAAAATAATAAAATAAAAAACAAGAGCTTCTAATAAATAATTAGATTATGAGCTTGAGATTTCTATCGCGTGATAGTTGAATCAGCTGTAGCCCTTGTCAACTATCATGCATACAAGTTGAGAGAAAAAAATCTAATTGTTTTGGTATAAATCTACTAGTCATTCAAAACTTTATCTAAATCCTCTTCATAAACACTTTGAAAATGCCAAAAAGCGGCCGTCACTTTGTTAATTAGTGCACACTAGCATACTACTCACTATTCCAACAGAATAGATAGTGAGTAGCGTAGCCAACCAGAGAACAGCATTCGTGATAGAACGCTAGTAGATTTATACTAACACTGTTTATTGAGTGGTTGAGTGTTGAAAGTAATTGGGCAATTACTCTGAATTTGGTTTTGGTTTCACTACGGTTTGAGATTAGCTGAGCAGTCTCAAGTCTAATTGGTAGGTGACTACTTTGGCTTTGATTTTATGACACTTTGTTGAAAACTACTCTACTAGTCCATTTTCATGTCATTTGAGGGCATCTGTGATATTTTTTGTGTACCAGACTTTGTTTGAGTTTATTTGTTCTTATTTCTTTTTGTTATGTTACAGAGAGGTAGTATTAGTAGTAGACTTTACTGGAGAGGGTAACATTTTCTACGTGTAGTTCTTGTTTTTCACCATCATTAGTAACACAGCCAAACAGACAGGAAATGAGAATGAAAATCAACTATGAATATTGTATTGATATGCCATCAAATTCTCAAAACCTTTCATTAAAAAGTGTGTGGCTTTCTGTTTTGAGAAAGTAGAGAGACAGTAGTCATACACATTTAGTTGGTGTTCAAATATAATATACATAAAAACCTTACATTGAAGCTTTTCATCAATGCTTCCTCTTGAAGTTACTGATAAAGCACAAATGAATTCTCTGAATTCTATAGTCCCATCCTAAGATAAAAACAATGCAAAGATCAGTAAATGAGTTAAAATAAATTATTTGAGGACAGAGATGTTAGAATTTGAGGTAGAGAAAATAAATTTGCAAAATTGCTGGTTATCACAAGTTACTTACGGACTGACCATTACTTTTTGAGGGTGGAGGGGAGGGGGTTGGGCGATTTCCATAAAACATTCCTGTTATCATAACATCGAATGACCCTACTGAGACGATCTTTCCAGTATACAAATCTCATGCCTATGGCTCAGTTGGCAGGTATAGCATTCCCTTGGTCAATGTTTTCATTATGTGAGTGGTCCATTTAGCAATCTGTATTGAAAACTTTGGGAAACTTGGAGAACTAAGAATTAGTCAGGCCTCTTTTCATCATCTGGACCAGTTTGTTAGATAACCAATCTTGTGCTATCTTCAACCAGGATGCATGACGACCTACCCACACTGATGATTTAGCCTCACCCTTATCAAGTTTAGAAATAACTGCAGGTGGAGAAAATTGCATTAACTGGATACGAGATTAAATGTAGCTTCACCCTCTCCCTTCAAACCACTATTGAGAATACATAAACTACTAAAAAACACTAGGTGGTAAAAAAGCTAAAACAAGACTGCATTGTTTGGGCACTGGGATTACACGATATTTCAAGAACAGAGATTTGATTCAAAACTATCCTTCAATTTTATCTTTTTTGGCAAATTAGTGAAAGTCATTTAATTATCATAAATGTCATCTAAATTATTCAAAGCTGACAAGTTGTGATAAAAATATAAAATGAAATGCATATTTCTGTTACTGTGGTAAACCTCAAATATTTTTCTAATGTTATTATATGTCACAAGAAAGCATCTTGTGTATTTTGTGAAAAATATGGGGATTTTGATTACTGAAATTATTCAATATGATACGGAAAATTTAACCTGAAGAGTTTAATTTGAACATTTCTTGTCAGACATTTTTAAAACAAAGAATTTTGAATTTAGATCGTAGTCAAAACAATATGTCTTTGATGTCATGTAATACAATATGCATGGAACACCTTTCCTGTTATTGTGGTGACGAGTGTCTGATGATGAATTTCTCTTTTAATAACAACGGGAATTTGAATTACTCTGGAAAACCAATTAGTACTGGAATGAAAGTTAACCTTCGACTTAGTCTTTCCTCATCTCACTCATACTTTAACTTCCGAATCCAAATATTAGTTGCAACAAGACATTCCGCTGGTTATACCTGCATTTATAAAATAAATGCAAGATTATCGATGGTTTGTGTTACGGAAGTCTCGCGCCAGTGCGTCGAGGAGAAACCTTCGTTGAACTTCACACCCGTTTTGATGCTATCTAATTTAAATCATTCTGGGAGTTATCCATAGTCACTTGATTTTCCCCCGGTCGGTAACATTTGTCAATACAACTCCATTTCTTTATACATCCTAGCTGTTTTCACCACAACCAAAGTGTCATGCAAGAATTTGTATACAGGGTTCTTCGAAGTAAAACTTCTTATAAATAAATAAAGGAATAAAATTGAGCAAAAAGAAAAATTCGTACAAAGATGATGGTGTTTTTTTCTAAATTTACCACTGTGTTTCTCATAAACAGCGTCAAGAAATAGTAGATAATTACGTATCAAAACTGCGTAATAATTATGGTGATTTGGAACTAAAAATGTTTTTCTGCGAATTCGCTGCGAGCCGACGATGGATATTAGGTTTTTAAACTCAAGAAAATACATTATTAATTAAAGCTACCCACAGTGTTACGGACATTGATCCTAATTATGAAATCGTATTGTACAGAAATATGTATACAAATAAAGTTGGTAATGAAACTTCCCGTCTATCGGTACAATACGACGCATGCTGTTCTGAAAACTAAAACTCAATTCACCAAAACAGCGCAGCTCTAGGACTAAATGATCTTTCACCTTCGCAGTGTTTGTAAAACGTTCAGTCAGGCACGTACTAAATAAAACTTACTGGAAATCAGAAATGTGGGGAACTGACAAACACATCTCAATGCACTCCCGCTCGCTTACCTTATTCTCATCGAATACATTGAAGACAAAAGATGCAAACTTTGACGTATCTCCAAAGGGAAAGAATTGTTTGTAGATTTTCTGGAACTCCTAACAAAGAAAGCAAAGGAAAGGAGAGGGTAGATTGCATGTCTCGATTCTAGAATTCGTCGCTAGCTGTAATTAAATTCATTTCACTCAAACATAATTAAATTTTGTAAACAGTTTAAAATGATATATGTTGTGCTTCCATAGACTAATGGTGAAATATGGTACATTGGAAAATGTTTCAAGCAAAAGTTCTCAAAATCTTCTGAAAACTTTACTTACCAACTCATTGAGGTTGCCTGAAGGACAGTCCTTTAGGAATCCTTTATACCTGTGGGAGAGAAATCGTCGGTGGTAAATTAGCACTTCTCGCTCATCACATCAGTAAATTCAAATACGACGGCCATCTGCACACACACGCCTTTGCACTATAAAAACCTACCATTGCTGTAATTCTTTCTCGCTGACTGAAACACGAAGAGCAATAAAGGAGTTAATAAAAAAACTCTTGATGTTACTTTAAGCAGGACATAAACGAAGCACTCCAAAATTAATTTCTCGCAAAATATCAATTAACGTGCAGTGAATGTCAAAGTTGTGAGTCTGAGGATATCGTTATCAACTGCTGCTACAAAAAAAACACCAGGTTAACTTACAGTAAGTTTTGTGTACTAGCTCCTGGACTAACTCAGGTTTTAACTTGCAGTTTTTCTGCCCCATTTCATTCAGCCTCAAGACTCATTGCATCGTTGTTCCAGTCTGCCAGCCATACACTGCAGTTATGTCGAGTGCCTAATGAGATTTTATTCAAGTGTGACATTTGTTGTCATGGAGATTGCGTTATTTCCACTTACGCTCGCAAAAAAATGTCCTATTTTGTTTTCTATTCGTTCACTGACATTAGTTTTCAAGTTACTGAATTAAAACTCCAACGAGAATGCTGCTTTGTTGAGGGTTGCCTTATATACGCATGATTTTTCGCTTTTTTGGCTTCTCTTTGTTATCTCGGACCATCTCGGGAATTTGATACAAAAGATAACTTGGCGAATTGCGTCAAGGCCGTCAAATCGCTGTCTTTACAAAGACGGTGTCACGTTCATATTCTGCATCAAATTAAGAAAGTGCTAAGAGATTTATTTCCCATCGGGATCTAGATAGGTGACATGTATATATGTATTTTTGGAACATTTGAGAAACATTTTCAAAACAGTCCAAAATTTTCAGCGGTTTCAATGGCTGTAGACTGCGGCTTCTCCTTGAGGATCTCACAAAATAGAAATCGTTTGAGATAATCAACGTTTGATTGACAAATTAGGGTAAAAAAGGTTAATTTGCTTTTTAAAATTTATGATAACATGAATAAAATTAAACGATATCAGCAGGTTTTCAACTTTTCAAGAGCCGCCTTCACGCGAGGCAAATCTAGTACATGTAATGCTAAACGTGAGCTGCGAGTAAAATGCCAAAATTGAAAACACCCTCAGAAATAAAGAAAACGATAATCACTGCACGGATACTGTAAGCGAAGGTAACGATAAAATTCAAGGGAACTTGAAAGCATGGGCGCTCTCCAGCTGCAGGGTCCTGCAGGTGTAAGTATTTTCAATATAATTATTAGTAATCTGATCAATCGTGTTCTCACATTGAAGGAGGTAGTGACCTATGGGCTCCTTCATAGAGACCGCGCTATTTCTTCCTGTAAACCATAATTCAAATAAGCTGCGATCAGACGTTCTTTTTCTGGCGAACGGGAAAAAAGAACGCCTGATCGCGAGCTATAATTCAAAATGAACGCGACTTCCAAAACATCCTCAGTCCTTGTCAATTTCCAAGTAATGAGCCCCAAACTTTTAAAGAAACTGTTCCAGTTGGCGGCAAACTACAAACTGCATCACAGGTGTCGGCTAAAACTCGTGATGGTCATGCGGTCAGTCAGTCAAACCTTTTGGGGTGGGGAAAAAAATTTGAGATTATACACTCCCGTCGCACCTTTTTTCTCCTCCCTGTCAAAAATAAGAAAGGGAAGTCGTTGAATTCACACTCGCACTCTCGCCAATTTTTCGCCCTTTTATTTTTACACGGGCGTTATTTCTGCGACATTTTACATATAACAGGTTCTTTTGTTTCCTTAACCCCGCGAAAGTTAAAGACAAAAATTATAAAAGGAGCTACGATACAGTTTGATTTACAATACGCTAATCTCAGACGTAAGAATCCGTCAGAATACCTGGAGAATATTCAGTTCCATTTTCTTGGATAGCCGTAAAGACGTGACGGTCAATGCGCTTTCAACAGTGTTTGGAATACAGATAGCCAATTCAATGCGGCTTTCAGGAATTTAGAAAAAACGGTAATGTACAGTGTCGTTTCAAAGTTGGATTCGATTTGACGAAGAGTACAGCCGATAAAATGATTGCAAAGCCGAATGCAAAAATAATGATCAAATTACGCTTTAGCGTGAATAATTAACAGTTATAATTAATAATTAATCGCTATAATTAAGGCCAAAGCATAAGCAAAGAACCGTGTGCGTTGGAGGGTACTGATAAACGACCCATGGACGCCCTATGTTCCCCAGGGGAGATAAGGATCAATGATGATCTCCACTTTGGAGATATCCACCACTGGCCACAGACACTGAGGAAAATAATTGTTTTTCTATATAAAGCACTATCCACTGGTTCGGTATGTACTTATTGTCTGGAGTCTTATTGTTTGGTATATACTTATTGTCTATATACTTATTGTCTGGAGTAAATGATTAGTATTTCAAGGCAGTTCCGCTTCAGTCAGGCTTGGTTTAGTCTATATTTAAAGCCCCTCCCCCTGATCGGATATTGGCTCATTTAGGCCCCTACTTACATAAAGCTCTCTAGCGTAGGGCGTGTTTTGCACCTTGTGTCGTTTGAGTATGTTTAGACTTGTGACATTCATTAAACAACTGTTAGACCTGCCTTGTATTTTTTTTTTCCAATACTATTTTTTGAGTTTCACCATGTGATATCGTGTATCCACGTAAAATGGTTGACACACATCCCCTGGAAATATAAAGCCAAACATTCTTATAACGTATAATTACTTCGGATATCGCCCCTTGATAATAAGCCTCAGCGAAACATAAGTCCACAAAAAAGGCCTTTTGAACTATTCTGGCCCTCTCTCTGTCACGTAAAGGGACCCTCTCTCCCAAGCGTTGCGTGACAGACAGAGGGCCAGAACTGGACTAATGGCAGCCCTCGTCTTATTGTCAGATTATTTTAATATATATTTTTCTGATTTTATGTCAAAAATCAAAAGCACTGATATGGAAGGAAAACATCAACTTTAATAGTTTGGACAAACAGTTGGAGAAACTAAAAAGGCGACTACACAGTTAAATACTTCCACAGCTATTTACTCTGATTTTTGTTACAATTCTATGCGACTTTGAATACGAGTGATCTATTAAGTGTTAATGAAATAATTGGTAGAAAAATGCCATAAAATATCTGGTCGTTGGCCAAGTTTTGACACCAATTTAGTTTGGTGATAGAGCACTAATAGACCAAGAAAAACTGTATGAATATACATCAATGCATTCTTCAATTAGCTTCTATACGTGCTCAGTCGATGAAATAGACAATTTTCGAGAAAATCGATACAAATTGCCTAATTGTGCATAACAGAAATCGTTAACAATCGACAAACAAAATACGTTGTAAGCAGTCGATTTATATTGAGTTTTCAATAGCTTATTGATTTTATCGAAAATATTGAACTAATCGTCTCGAGTCTCCACTTGTACTTCAGAAATAAGGAAAAATTTGAACAAGATTACCAGGACACTTAACACATCCCTCGAGTGCTGCAGATTAAGTTCATTACTTTAGTAAGAATAAAACACAGAGGAGTCGTGTTGGCCTGTGAAACCACGCCACCGCAAAAGATGCAGTTTTTAACGTTTTGCAGGAGCAAAAAGGCGATAAAATCTAACTATTAAGATCAAATTGATTTCTATCGATTTATCAGCGGTTTTCCGATTGAACACGTCGATCTTCACGTAACTAAATGTCAATTTTTTAACGCAGTCGTACAGTAAGAACTAATGAAATACAAGAAATGAACACCTGTTCATGTGAGGAGTGATTTAAATAATAACTTATTTTACCGCTCACTTAAATGATATTTTTTACATCCATCTTCACAAGACAAAACCTAATGTTGTTGTCAGTTTCTACCGACTAGAGTTCTAGCTTAGTACAAAATTCACATCATCACCATAATACAAATAGCATAACGAGAAGATGGGTGCATTTGAATACACGTTAGCCATACTATAGTGGACACACTCTATGTTGACTGACGGAGTGAAAAACGTTGTACAAAGCATCTAATCCTAAAGTAACATTTAATTGATCTCTTAAAACTTCAAAACTCCCTCTCTCTCCCTGAGCAGTACTTTTCTTTCTCCTCCCTGGCAAAGCAAATACGAGTGCATCAACTCTTCCCAGGGAGGGTGTATGCTCAAGGGAAAAAGTCAATCTCTGCTGCGATAACCCTATACCTTTCTTTCGAACATTCCCCACCCCTTCCCAGACAAAGGCTTTCTCCCTTCCTGAGGAACAGATACCTACTTACTTCCCTCCCTCCCCTTCTGGGCAAAACGTTACTTGAACTTGGTCCTGGAACATGCTCAATATTACTGAAAAACGTTCAACTGGGTATCAGTAAACAAACAACATTATTAAAGATTAGAGCTCAGGTGCTCTAATCTTTAATAAAGTCAAAAAGTTGGCTTGTAGAATAGTGAAGTTTTGGTGCTAAATGGATTGCTCTAGATTCATGTCAGTATAGTTTATAGGTTATTCATCAGCTTGTGACAGGTCTTCTTGAGGCAAGTCAATAGCTAGGGCTTGTACTATCCATGGGTCACACTTGGAACCTTCACGAAACTCCTCCATTGTTAACTTTCCATCTTCGTTCTAGAATGTTATAAAAAGAATTACAATAGGCAAAAGCTTTATTTATCAAATCCACGCTTTGGAACATGACATTTGTTCCAGGCTAGTTAAAATGACTTTCTATTACTGACTTGTAATGCCACCCAGCTAAACAGAAAGCTTTGAATTACAATTGGACATGCAAGCCTACATTTATTCATTAGCATTTTGTTGCATGTCAGCCATCCCCACACGTCTTAAAACACTGCGTCAACTACAGGACTGTACATGTATATTAGCCCATCTTACAGGTATCTGACTCACCAAGTTAACCTCAGCAGTGAAGCAGAACTACATGCAAGCACTCTGCTGTAGAGTGCATGTGCATTTACACAGATTTGAGATTGAATCCAAGGGAGCCTTTCAGGCTGGTTCTCATATGTCAACAGCATTCCTGTGACAAATAAGTTTTCAGATGTAACCAGGAGCATTATGATTTGGTGAATTCTTGCAGTCAACCTTCCCATGCAGCTGTAATGTGTAGTGAACACACTCAAATAGGCCCAAATTGTGGAAATGACTGAGTCAGATTGCCAGCGACAAATGTTACCATGTGCCACAACAGTGTCCAAGGTCACGCTGGCAACTGTTGTACTAGGCTTGTTGGCGGCATATGAGAACCAGCCTTAACAGCATGACAAGAGCCATCGAATGACAAATTTGACTTGTGTTAGATGCAAACACAATTCAAATATGTGAATAAAATGTGGGAATTAAATGAAAGTAATTCCTGTTCCCACTTGAAGGATATTTGGGAGCAAGGTTCAACAATCTTTCAGAGCTGTGAAGGTATCAATGATGTGTATGATACTCCACCTCACTCAAATATTATATAAATACAAGTGCAACTGTCTCTTCACTGACCTTGTCCATTTGTTTAAATATCTTGTCTACTCTTTTTTCTGGAGTGTCTTCATCTTTTGGTAAGTCAATTATATTACCCTATGAAAAGTACAAGGAATATTGCATTACTCACTAAAAGAGAGAGATGTACATTTTATTTAATAATAAACATTAGAAAACAGTCCTAAGAAAATATGTTCACTGATTGGTTAAAAATTGTGTTTTTATTAAACAATTAGATTATGAGTTCGAGATTTCTATTGCATGATAGTTGACGAGGGCACAGCCCTCGTCAACTATCACGCATAGAAATCGAGCGAATAATCTAATCGTTTTAGTATAAATCTACTAGTCATTCAAAACTTTCATCTAAATCCTCTTCACAGACACTTCGAAAACACAAAGAAGCGGCCCCCAGCACACGCTGCTATGCTACTCTCTATCTATCACAGATTATAGTTCACCACTAAATTTCCTCCGATTCTTATTGGTTTAAATTGATCACATGACGCGATAGTGTTCATCCGTGGAGAGACACTATCAGCCCATAGTGCCCGTCCAAGGAAAATACCTGGATGGATAGTACTCGTCCGTGTAAATGTTTCTGTAAGGAAGCGGGCTTACAGAAAGTAAACAGTTGAAATGTATTAAATGGGTTTTTGTCTGTTTTCTTTTTCAAATTTTACATTTGGCTTTAACGACCTTTCACGGCTTTCATCTAAAAAAGTTGAAAATAATTCAATATGAATTTTGAACTGGCGCGCGGAAGAAAATTTAGCGGTGAACGATAAAGACAATAGAGCGTTTATGTCTCGGAACTATCCGTCTGATAGTTGTCCCTTGGAAATTTGATGGTCTTAAAACTAGCATATTTGCCCTCGAAGCTTCGCTTCTCGGGCAAATATTTGTTTTAAGAACATCAAATTTCTGCGGGGCAACTATCAACCGATAGTTCCTTGACAGAAACACTCTATTGTTTAAATAGAACGTGAGTAGCGTAGCCAATCAGAGGACGGCATTCATGATAGAACGGTAGTAGATTTACAGTATACTAAAACTCGATAGAAACACAGAACCAGCAGGAGCTGTTGACGTAATGATGGCGCGAGCAAAGACAATTTACATTTTGATAATCAAAGTTAACAACTTGTTTTCCTTTTTTTGTCACAGTGTTTTCTAAAAGAAATAGAAAACATGTTCTCCATGTTTCTGTCGAGTTATAGAGACACTCGTGAAAGTTTGGGAGAACACTCGTGTTTCTATAACTTGACAGAAACATGGTACATGTTTTCTATTTCTTAAATAATTTAAAGCTGAGCATGTGCCCCTGTTTAGTATTTCATGGTTTCAATAACAATAATTACTGGGTGCAGAACATACCACCATACGATAGATTGCTTCTACAATCTTCAGCATTTCATCTCTTGTAATATATCCATCTTTGTCAAGGTCATAAAGACTAAATGCCCCTGAAAGATAATAATGATATTTAAACATTCAGTCAATATGTTAATAATAATAAGGGCATTAATGTACAATTCTCATCAGAGATACTGTGTTCAAAACAAGCCAAAATAATTATATTTACAAAAAGCAAATAAGGAAAGAAACATGCAAACAATGCATGTCCTCTATAATGTGACTGCCTAGCAATTTTGTTTTGCTCACATAATCGTCAAACCTGAACTCTGAAGTTCAAAACCTAAAAGAGACAGGATTTTATGCTGCCATTCATGTTATGTAATCACAAGAACCAATGGATGCAGGGAGAAAAGAATAAAACAAAATGGTTTGAAATCTACAAGTTTATTACAAAACCCAAGGATACAACCCTTTGAGCCTGTTGAAATGTAAATCACTTGTTTCTTAAATTAATGATCTCTGCTCGGACAGCAGTGTAAAACATGACTGTTTAAGGCTAATAATGAACATTTACTTCAAAATCACACAAAAGTGAAATTTGCCTTTTATAATATATGCCTTTGCAATACATGTACATGTGAGCCACATTATGGCAAGCCCTAGGATTTCAAATTTCATCAGTAACTAAACACTTTTTCGGTTCTGTGTCCAGTGATTGTAAAAAACGATGGGTAGTGGAAAATGTTTGGTGACAAAATTTCATGCTTGATTTGGACACACATAAAAGAAAGCGAAAACAGTATTTTGAGAATAGAGAAGGAAATGAAACAAACACTGTTTTTATAAACTTACATGTATTCAGTGGCATGGATCTTGGCTAGTAAGCTTAAGTTTCTAAACAACGTGATGTATTCCATAAAGGTCTCTAAATCAGTACAAACTTGCCTCTTCCTTGTTTTTTTTAATTACAAAAAGGCAACTTTTGTACTTCTTCTTCTTCTTGGTAGTGGAAGCCATGTGAACTTGTTCTTGGGATAAAAACCAATATTGTAGCTGGTTCGCCCAATATCAGCCATTTGTCTGCCATCTCAAATCCATCCCAGACTGCATTATACATACTGTGCGATGCACTTTGGGATGGATTCAAGATGGCATATGGGTGACGTGAAACAACGTTTTAGTCTCAAATACAATTGAAGTGCAAATCAAAGGAATTACTCCACTTGTTGAGAATTACAACAGAAAAAAATAGTACCAAATGAATTTTGATCAGCAAGGCTGAAGATGTCCGTGGCAAACGGTTTTTCTGAATCATGGTAACAACACAGATTAACTGGAAATTATCATTACCGTGAAATCCTAGGGCTTGTTATGGATATAAAAAAATGACCATCAAAATCAAAGAAAAAGCGACCTCACATCATGGTATACTACCTAATGTATTTGGAGATTACATGATAGCATACATGTATATATCCATGTACAACCATATAAACTGAACAGGAGCAAGAATAGACTAGATTGGGCAGGATTCAGAAGCAGATTTCAAAGCTGCCCATATCTATGATCTATCATATCTCTTTTTAAAATGTAGGATGACATAAGATGTAAGATAGGTTAACAAAATACATTGTACATGTGACACAGTTAATAATAGCTCTTGCATTTATACTTACACTCCAATTTTTCATCTAGACTTCCTCTGGAAGTGACTGATAATGCAGTAATAAACTCTCTGAAGTTAATTGATCCATCCTGAGAAAGAAAGCAAATTGATGATGTTAAAAAGCTAGAGCAGTAATGTAGGGCAGTTACAAGACATTGTAAGGAACTAGGGGACCTAAAAATAGTCAGTAAAACAAAACAGGAACAACAAAATTACTACTACTTACAGAGTTTTTGTCAAAAACTTTAAACACAAAGGCTGCAAACTTTGAGGGATCACCAAATGGAAAAAACTGCTGGTAGATTCTTTGAAATTCCTAAAAGAAAAGAAAAGTTGGACGAGTTGTTAGAAGACTTGTGTGTTAAAAGTTGAACCCTCTTCCCACTGGCATCCTACCTTATACAGCTGTACAAAGTATGTATGTATGTGTGTATGTATGTATGTATGTATGTATGTATGTATGTATGTATGTATGTACAAATATTCCATACAATGTACAAAGTCATGTAAATATTTAGTGGTGAACCAATTGCATAAAGGTTATTATAAGTTGTTCTTTAACATACAATCCCTTTTTTTCACCTACTTAGCAAACAGGGTCCATAATTATTCGCAGTTGTGCAGTCCTGCAGTCGTCCGTGATCAAAACAATATGAAAGTTTAGTTTGACTCTACCAGAAAAAAAAATTGTTAAATTTTCTTCTGAGTTCCCTGCATTCTGGTCAATTGTCATCCATTTGAAACTTTTAGAAAACAAAGAGAGATTTGTAGCTTTCTTTCGTAATTAAACCATCAGTTTGGTCCGCCATGAATGAAATCATTGCAGGCTCAATTTTCAGTTTTGCCAACTGCTGATTCTGTACTGCATCTACATCTGCGAAAACATGACGCGCAGTCCTTTCTGTTTTTATTTTCAATAATGTTGACTCCCATATCTCTAGACTTACAGCAGCCTATATCCATTCATGCATGGATTACAGACAGAATACTATTACTTAATCAATTAAATTATTGTAATTTAGTTACATTATTTCAGCTGTATCATATTTTACATGTAGGTAATACCATGTACTCATATGGGAATACTGAAATAAATTGTTGTCATTGTTGCATCAGCTGTTTTAATCAGTATATGGCGTTTATTAAAGTTAACCATGGTGTTAACAGTATGGAAAAACAAGCCAAATACAAGCAGGAGGAGCAAAAGCATTCCTTTCAGCCTCAATGGCAGTCCAAGAGCCCTTGGTCTTCATTTGAATCTGATGTATGATTTCTGTCAAAGATGTATGTGCATTACAAAAGGTCAAAGTCTGTCAAATCTCCTTAATACTGCCAAGTACATGTATCTGTAACATGAAGCAGTACCATGCACAGGCCAAAGTTATCCTAGGTCTGAGATTTTTTTAAGTAAAGGTTGTTTTGACATTTTGCCAGAAGTGATGTGGTTAACAGAAAGGTCTACAAGGTGTAGCTTTTGCCAACAATTACATGTACAGAAATTTCCAATTTGGAATGCCTTCAGTTTGTTATCTTGCTGTTCTTAATAGCATAAATAGTGATGACTGAAGATTTGGGAAAACACTTTAGAATAAACAGTAATGAGATGCCATGTTTTTATATCGCTAAGTTGTTTATTCTCCAACATTTAAATGGTGAAAAAATATTTCTGTTTCTGTAGCCTTCCAGAACATTTTGAATTTGGCTGTCTCATATTTCAAGAATGCTTTGTTTCCAAAACAAAGCTTTCTCCTAAAACAAATATAGTCCTGGTAATTAGTGACATGGATGTTGAAAAGAAGCACCTTTCAAAATATTCTGTAGTTTTAAATTTAGAACGTTGATGCTGCAATGTGAAAATATAAAGCAATGCCCTTTTATGTGGTTTTTCTTTGTAATGAAAATCTACAGGTTCAAATATGAAAGTATCAGTTTATAACATAATGCAAAGAAATACAATTAAAATAATGAATAATCAAACACTCAGGTTTTTTAAAAAAATATAATTGATACAGAAGACACAAAAAACATAAAACCTGCTACTATCATATGGTAAGTGCAGTGCTTTTTTTTAGCACAATTTTTTCCTCTTATCTACTGTCACATGAAAGTTTAATATCACCCAATTTAGGCCTGCATGAAATGTAAATTAAACACAATTCTCAAAACAAATGCTGTACATAATTATAACTGGACAATAAAGATTTCTAAAATGGTAAAATTTTACATGAAGAAATGGAAAAAAAAAAAACTGGTTGCAATGAATTTTTTTTTTTGGGGGGNATCTTTCTGGGCAAGTGAAAATGACACCAGGTGAGTGCATTTTAGGAGTCACTGGGCTGAATGGTGAGTGCTGTCAAAATGTAGTTTCCAACACTGATTCACTGATCCTCTGGACCTAATAGCCAAGGGAAAGGAGTTCTATCTACAAGCTAGGAGCAAATAATGAGAAGGCTTTGGATCCATATCTTCTTAGATTATGGTGATTATATCAAAGAAAAGCAGATTCATTTACATTTGTGATACAATGAAATATTTTGTGAAGCTGATTGCTAGTCAAGAATAACTGCACAAACAAACTTTTCAGAGTACTACAATTGGTACAAATGCAAATTCTAAAAGTGAAGCACACACATTTCTGTTTATGGTATAACATTATTGACTGGGTCAAAGTTACCTTTGAGACCTTATGCACCCATTGTGCAACCAGCAGGGAAGTTGATGAAAGTACATAACAACAACATGGAATACAATGTTTACACTCCAGTTATAGCACTGAAACCAAGAGAAAATCTGACATACATGTACATGTGCTGTGCGTTTACATGTATGAGAAAATGCCAGACAAAAATTACTACTAACAGTTACTAAATTTAATCAACTGAAATGACAAAATGTAATAAGGATGCCACAAAGGAACATTTTTATATTTCTATTCATTTTATCTTCCTTAAGACAGGAAAAGTAATCTTAATTTCAATCTTTTATCCAAATACAAAGGTTGCCTCAACATTAACATCCAGATCTGCTTGTGAATTAGGAGCAGACCATAAATAAGCACGGCCATAACTAAACAAGAGACAGGTAAAATAAGGGACTTCTCTGGCAGAGTCCTGCTAAACAATGTTACTGGTAAATAAGCTTATAGGCAATTTGCATAAACTATCTTAGAGATAAAAACAGTGACACTTTCGAACATGATTTTAAATAGATTACATGTAACTTTCTGCATTTTATCAATATTTAGCGTTTTTTAAGCACAATAAATAAATAAACAATAACTTAACCACCTAAAATGCACATTATGTGTGGCAAAAAAGCGAATGAGACAACTACAGCTGTAAATAGTTTGAAGCAAATAAATTAAAAATCGACAAGCGAATTTTCGAGTTTTAATTATCGAGTTTTAATCATCGAGTTTCAACAAAACTCTGTCAATTAAGCTCACTGATAATCCAAAGCATTCTCCTTAATAGAACAGACATAAACTGATAACCCAATCTGTGAATTCAATTCGCTTCATCCCTAATGGAAGATTTCGAGATACAGTAACTGAGGAAAAGGATTATTGCATTGTTTGAAGAAAGAATAGGCAAATTAATGTAACCCCGCGGAGTAAACTTCGAAAAACAAAACCTTAGGGCGCAGCCCTTGTCGTAAGTTTAATTAAAAAGGTTGTTTCAGTTTTCTTGAAGGCGATTCTGCCGAACACATTTATTGCTTGAAAAACGAAGCACCAAATAATCAGCTAAAGACGCGTACATGTACTTGGGTTATTAGGTTTCGTGACATGTTTTCCTAATTCTGGAAACCTGCACTTAAGAGATTTTACACCAACTCAAACAATCCCTAAGTGTTCCGAAGGACCAAATAAGAAGTGGCAGTCAAAGAAAAGAGCGAAGTGTACGATCTTTTAGCGTTTTCTTTCCCACGGATCTCATAGATAGCAAGTTTACAGTTTGGTAATTAGCGAATACTGACCTCTTGTTTGAGCTCGCCTGAAGGGCAATCCTTCATGAAGTCTCGATACCTACAAGAAACATAAAGTTCTAGGAGATCAGGAAAGGAAACCAATTGTAATTAGAAGAACTTCGAGAGCATCGGACCAGATAGCAATTTTATTCAAAACTGAAAACATAATAAGGCTTAACGAAAACAAAAGCAACACGGCTTATTGACAAGAAGCTTACTAACTCATGGTCATTACAATAACAAAACACCACCATTAAAAGTGCGTTTTACAATAATAGTCTAATACTCACCACTTCTGCAATTCTTTTTTATCGACTGAAGGAAGGAAAACAAAAAACATTCCGAATTACTAATAAAGTAAACAACTACAACCAAGAATGCTGAGGAAATCAAACACTGTACGGAAATTTCTGACATTGACACATTGACATCGAGGTAATCACTGAAGCTCAGAACTTACAATACGTGCACTTAAGCAGCTCTTGCGTTTCATCCGGAGTTAGTTTACTCCCTTTATGTCCCATGATGACGACAATAGTTGTAAACTCAAGTTAGCAGCATGTCTTTATCACCTGAAACCACAACTCCACAAATTGACCGCCATCTTTGGCTAGCGTACCCAGAGCACCTCGCGATGCTTGATGTTATCGGATATACTTATTTGCACGGTAACCAATCAGAAACCTCGTTATATAATGGCCGCAAGCAAGGCGAGAGAACTGGGGTGCTAACCATTTAGCTAAGAAATCCGAAAATTTCGGTTGAAAGTCAAATGGAACAGTAATTTTCCGGAAAATCCGTTCCGAAATTGTAGACTACCTTCAGAGGTAGTCCTCTTTTTCCGTTCGGAATGGAACGGCGGAAGTTTCCCTACCATTTGGTGAATTTTCCAGTTTCCAGTCTTTCATCAACCGAAAACAAATACGAGAAATCGAATTGCAAATGGTAAGCGCCATCTCGTTCGGTTGGGTTGCTGATTTTGGAAAAACCCTTACCATTATACAACGGCCATCCCAACCGGTTTATTCTGACAAATGGTAAGCACCCCTGGACTAGGCCAAATTCTTGCCGCAGACGGTACACAGGATCAAGAGAACATGAGGGACAACTGTCCCTCATTTTCTCTTGACAGGATATAAATATGGACTAGCCTAAAATAAGACGAAATCCAAAGTGCACGGATAATGCTAAACGGTAGAAACGATATCTTTCTTCATGCTTTTAATATTTTTAGTTATTTAAATAACAAAATTGGCATATATCGCGATCCAATCCGGCCCAGGTGCAAAGAGGTACTTTGATTTGATTTGAGGACACGGAACCCGAGAGACCGGTCTTTTCAAACTGACTTCACATCCACTCGTGTGTAGTATGTGTTAAATTGCTTGCGATCGAAAGAAAGAATCACCTGTCACAAAGCTAATAGCAGTAAATGACCTTCAACTTTTCCACTCCGCAATTCTAATTGAATCCATGAGAATACTTCACAGGATTACAATCGTTTTGCAGATGACAATTAAGACCCAATTAAGTAGATTACTTAAGCTTGGACAGCTTTGTCCGCCTGTTCTAAGAGAGTAAAAGAAAGACCCTGCGAACTGACAGAAAACTTGGAACGTTTTCTGCATGGAACTTCCCTTTTTTGTGCGAAGGAAGTGCGATCACCTCAGTTTTCCTTCCCGCCGATTGATTCAAATAAGGCACAAAGAATGTCTCCCCTTTTGTTAATGATTAATAGGGTTGTCATCATGAATGTTACAGAAACACAATGAAACAGTTTGGCCGTCGGTAAAAAATTATCAAGTATCATAGTTAAATAGAGTAGGCATCTGGTGTTGTGTTTTAAGTTATTTTCTGTTTCTATTATGAAGAATCAAACAAAGTAATACTTCACTGTATTTTGGTCAAACCAGGGAAGGAGAAACACTGTGCTAGGTACGTAAGAAATACATCTCACCTAACTTAATAGTTAGCAAGAAACTATTTATTTGGATTTGTTCACAAATGAATGAATGATAACTACGATAAGTAATCGTAGTTAGGTGTCGCCAATTAGTATACATTGTATGCTAGCGACTTTGACACGTTAATAAAGTTCTTATCTTATCTTATCTTATCTTATCTTATCTTATGAAAGACTTTATTTCCATGTCAGTGGTCTTTAGCAAAACTAAAACAAGCAATTTTGCAACTTGGTGTACAAGATAACTTCCTATACGATTCGACTTTATCGTTTACAATAGAGGGTAGAACGTTAAAACGGTCATGCGCGCGAACTTCTCAAAAACGTACTTGCAGCAGTCGTATTCTAACCAGTCCAACTCTTTCCACTTTACTGCTTAGTTGTTACAGTTGTTAGAGTGTATATCCAGTTAAGCGTGAACTACGGGTATGATCTGAATGCTAATAAGAGTGATCGTGGAGTTTTCTTTCCACTTTACTGCTTAGTTGTTACAGTTGTTAGAGTGTATATCCAGTTAAGCGTGAACTACGGGTATGATCTGAATGCTAATAAGAGTGATCGTGGAGTTTTCTTTCCACTTTACTGCTTAGTTGTTACAGTTGTTAGAGTGTATATCCAGTTAAGCGTGAACTACGGGTATGATCTGAATGCTAATAAGAGTGATCGTGGAGTTTTCTTTCCACTTTACTGCTTAGTTGTTACAGTTGTTAGAGTGTATATCCAGTTAAGCGTGAACTACGGGTATGATCTGAATGCTAATAAGAGTGATCGTGGAGTTTTCTTTCCACTTTACTGCTTAGTTGTTACAGTTGTTAGAGTGTATATCCAGTTAAGCGTGAACTACGGGTATGATCTGAATGCTAATAAGAGTGATCGTGGAGTTTTCTTTCCACTTTACTGCTTAGTTGTTACAGTTGTTAGAGTGTATATCCAGTTAAGCGTGAACTACGGGTATGATCTGAATGCTAATAAGAGTGATCGTGGAGTTTTCTTTCCACTTTACTGCTTAGTTGTTACAGTTGTTAGAGTGTATATCCAGTTAAGCGTGAACTACGGGTATGATCTGAATGCTAATAAGAGTGATCGTGGAGTTTTCTTTCCACTTTACTGCTTAGTTGTTACAGTTGTTAGAGTGTATATCCAGTTAAGCGTGAACTACGGGTATGATCTGAATGCTAATAAGAGTGATCGTGGAGTTTTCTTTCCACTTTACTGCTTAGTTGTTACAGTTGTTAGAGTGTATATCCAGTTAAGCGTGAACTACGGGTATGATCTGAATGCTAATAAGAGTGATCGTGGAGTTTTCTTTCCACTTTACTGCTTAGTTGTTACAGTTGTTAGAGTGTATATCCAGTTAAGCGTGAACTACGGGTATGATCTGAATGCTAATAAGAGTGATCGTGGAGTTTTCTTTCCACTTTACTGCTTAGTTGTTACAGTTGTTAGAGTGTATATCCAGTTAAGCGTGAACTACGGGTATGATCTGAATGCTAATAAGAGTGATCGTGGAGTTTTCTTTCCACTTTACTGCTTAGTTGTTACAGTTGTTAGAGTGTATATCCAGTTAAGCGTGAACTACGGGTATGATCTGAATGCTAATAAGAGTGATCGTGGAGTTTTCTTTCCACTTTACTGCTTAGTTGTTACAGTTGTTAGAGTGTATATCCAGTTAAGCGTGAACTACGGGTATGATCTGAATGCTAATAAGAGTGATCGTGGAGTTTTCTTTCCACTTTACTGCTTAGTTGTTACAGTTGTTAGAGTGTATATCCAGTTAAGCGTGAACTACGGGTATGATCTGAATGCTAATAAGAGTGATCGTGGAGTTTTCTTTCCACTTTACTGCTTAGTTGTTACAGTTGTTAGAGTGTATATCCAGTTAAGCGTGAACTACGGGTATGATCTGAATGCTAATAAGAGTGATCGTGGAGTTTTCTTTCCACTTTACTGCTTAGTTGTTACAGTTGTTAGAGTGTATATCCAGTTAAGCGTGAACTACGGGTATGATCTGAATGCTAATAAGAGTGATCGTGGAGTTTTCTTTCCACTTTACTGCTTAGTTGTTACAGTTGTTAGAGTGTATATCCAGTTAAGCGTGAACTACGGGTATGATCTGAATGCTAATAAGAGTGATCGTGGAGTTTTCTTTCCACTTTACTGCTTAGTTGTTACAGTTGTTAGAGTGTATATCCAGTTAAGCGTGAACTACGGGTATGATCTGAATGCTAATAAGAGTGATCGTGGAGTTTTCTTTCCACTTTACTGCTTAGTTGTTACAGTTGTTAGAGTGTATATCCAGTTAAGCGTGAACTACGGGTATGATCTGAATGCTAATAAGAGTGATCGTGGAGTTTTCTTTCCACTTTACTGCTTAGTTGTTACAGTTGTTAGAGTGTATATCCAGTTAAGCGTGAACTACGGGTATGATCTGAATGCTAATAAGAGTGATCGTGGAGTTTTCTTTCCACTTTACTGCTTAGTTGTTACAGTTGTTAGAGTGTATATCCAGTTAAGCGTGAACTACGGGTATGATCTGAATGCTAATAAGAGTGATCGTGGAGTTTTCTTTCCACTTTACTGCTTAGTTGTTACAGTTGTTAGAGTGTATATCCAGTTAAGCGTGAACTACGGGTATGATCTGAATGCTAATAAGAGTGATCGTGGAGTTTTCTTTCCACTTTACTGCTTAGTTGTTACAGTTGTTAGAGTGTATATCCAGTTAAGCGTGAACTACGGGTATGATCTGAATGCTAATAAGAGTGATCGTGGAGTTTTCTTTCCACTTTACTGCTTAGTTGTTACAGTTGTTAGAGTGTATATCCAGTTAAGCGTGAACTACGGGTATGATCTGAATGCTAATAAGAGTGATCGTGGAGTTTTCTTTCCACTTTACTGCTTAGTTGTTACAGTTGTTAGAGTGTATATCCAGTTAAGCGTGAACTACGGGTATGATCTGAATGCTAATAAGAGTGATCGTGGAGTTTTCTTTCCACTTTACTGCTTAGTTGTTACAGTTGTTAGAGTGTATATCCAGTTAAGCGTGAACTACGGGTATGATCTGAATGCTAATAAGAGTGATCGTGGAGTTTTCTTTCCACTTTACTGCTTAGTTGTTACAGTTGTTAGAGTGTATATCCAGTTAAGCGTGAACTACGGGTATGATCTGAATGCTAATAAGAGTGATCGTGGAGTTTTCTTTCCACTTTACTGCTTAGTTGTTACAGTTGTTAGAGTGTATATCCAGTTAAGCGTGAACTACGGGTATGATCTGAATGCTAATAAGAGTGATCGTGGAGTTTTCTTTCCACTTTACTGCTTAGTTGTTACAGTTGTTAGAGTGTATATCCAGTTAAGCGTGAACTACGGGTATGATCTGAATGCTAATAAGAGTGATCGTGGAGTTTTCTTTCCACTTTACTGCTTAGTTGTTACAGTTGTTAGAGTGTATATCCAGTTAAGCGTGAACTACGGGTATGATCTGAATGCTAATAAGAGTGATCGTGGAGTTTTCTTTCCACTTTACTGCTTAGTTGTTACAGTTGTTAGAGTGTATATCCAGTTAAGCGTGAACTACGGGTATGATCTGAATGCTAATAAGAGTGATCGTGGAGTTTTCTTTCCACTTTACTGCTTAGTTGTTACAGTTGTTAGAGTGTATATCCAGTTAAGC